TCAAGGCCAGGTTGGATGGGGCTTGGAGCAACCTGGTGGAATGAGATGACCTTGAGATCCTTGCCAACCCAAACTATTCCATGATTTCCTCGAGAGTGCCGGCAGCAGGCACCTCCCTGCAGCTCTGCTCAGTCAGAGGTGTTCCTTAGCTGAGGGCGTTAAGGATCAGGACACTCATGTGCTGGAGGTTTAAGTGTGCTTCTCAGTTCAGGCCCAGTTGGCAAGTCTGTCTCCGGCGATCTTATCCCAGGCTTGCTTACCTGTAAACCAAGTTTTTCTGTGGAGTCTGGGGGCCTTAGAGCTGCTGGCCCATCTCCAGGCAATAAATAGGTGCTAGAGACAAGTTTATGAAGTGGAGAACTGAACAAAACCTTGACCATAGGGGAGAGGTGACCGAGTCCAGGCAGAGCTGGAGAGATGAACAGGGAAGGAGGGGGAGAAGGCAGTAGGCATTGAAGGTGCCTGTGCGTGCACAGGGAAATCCAACACCCTTTTTAAACTGGGAGGAGAACAAGGGGAATGTTGAGGAATATCACATTGATCCTAAATGCTGGTTTGAAGTCTGACCATTAATCCAGATACTATATATAGCACTTGATTCACTTTTAAGTGTAAGGAGATGGCAGGACAGCTTGACTTTGGCTGGAAGAGTCAGGTGTTGGAAGGAGTCATCCACCTTCATGGCTGTGTTAGAGGAATGTGACTTGCTTTCTGTCCCTTTGCATCTTTAATAATTCATTAAAATACAAAATTTGGGCTAAAATGCTGCTTGAACTTACTGTTTCTTTGGTGTTCTTTTTCCCTGCTGTGCAAGGGGATTTCACTCTCCTTTGTGCAGGAGGTGATGCACATCCAGAGGATTTCTGAGCTGGTTACCTCGTACACTGAAAAGCCTCAGGGTTTTCATGTCCTTTATTTTGTGTGATGCAGCTTTCCCGTGTTGCAGCCCAAATTTCATGCCTGAGAGGTCACTGCCAAGGAGGAATGCCAAATGCTGTGTGCTCCACGCTGACGTGGGAGCAGGCAGGGGCCTTGGGAGGGTCGTGGGGGGAGATGCAGAGCAAGTCAGAGATCCTGCAGAAGTTTTATAGGTGGCCTGAATCCCTGTCAGGAAAGTGTGGGGCAGAGGAATGGAAATGGCCCTTGACAGCAGGTCCAGGAGGTGCTGTAGCAATTGCTGATGTCATCTCAGGAAATACTTGGTATGTGTTGGTATCTCTGAAACCACAGAGTGAAACAGAGGCAAGTGTTTATAATTTGTCTTCCTGGGGGTCCAGAAACCTTCTGTTCTCTTGTCTTAATTCAACCATGATTAAACTGATGTAATTGATGAGAAATGGGGACTGGAAGTTAGACTTTCCATAAAGCCTGGATCTGCTGAAATGGTGCTTATCTCTCCTTAACTACTGCAGGATTCTTCTCCTGTTTCCACTGCATGCTATTCCTAGAAGTTTGGGATGGTCTTTTGGAAACTGTTTTCAAATATTTCCACTGACAAATTGCTCTCTTGACTTCTTATAAACAGAACCAGCCTGAGTGGGGAGTTTGTGTGTGGATTTGGGGATTACTAGGAGGAGCTGAAACTCAAGAGGTTGATCTAGCAGACTGAAGGACTTTCAGTTTTGTTTTCAGTTGAATCACATTTTAAACCCAAACTACACTGATTTTTAAAGACTTGTAAGAATTAAAAATGCCATTCTTACTGTGCCTGTTCTCTTTATGAGCAAGCCTAAGGCAGGAAATGAAGTACAACCTGTACTGTAACATATTTATCCACCCCTGCACCATGCAGCTCACTCTTCCTTGTTTTAATTCAGCAGAAAATCAGAAATCCCTCTCTCCTCTGCAGTGCTGGAGCACAATAAAGGCATGTCAAAAGTAGAAGGCTTTAGGAGAGAATTTTGGGAAATTCCTATGCCTTTGTGTTTTTTCATTTGGTTGGTTGGTTTCCCCCAGAACAACCAACATGATTGCCCGAGGTGTGATCTCACTGCAGTGTCTCAGGTGCCCTAAGGTTCATCTGGTTTTCCCAATATGTCTTCTCCTTCTCTTCCAGTGTCAATGCCTGCGTGGATGTGGTTCTGTCCGGGGTGAAGCTGCTGGAGGCACTGGGTCTGGAGCCTGGGGATGGAAAGAACCACGTGGTCCTGAACTCCAGGCAGGACCTGAGAGAGGCATTTGCTCACTTCATGGAGAAAGGGGCAGCGGCCGAGCGCTTCTTCAGCGATGCTGAGGCCTTTCACCACATTGCACAGACAGCCTCCGAGCACCCTGGGGCACAGGTGTGTCTCCACCTGCAGAGAAGCTTTAGGAAGCATGTTTCTTACTGTCTTATCACTGGGGATTTCCTTTCTCCCTCTAGTGATAGTGCAAACCGTTTAGGAGAGAAACTTGTGGTGTAGCTTGAGTGTGTTAATGATTTTCCACAGGAAATCATTATTATTTGCAGCCCCTGCTGCAAACAGGAGGGTGTAAATGGTGTTTCCTCTGCTGACTTTCCCAAGCTGAAATGTCAAAGACAGCTCTGTCACAATGCTGTTATATGGGAGCCAGATGGGGCTGAGGCTGTAAAAGAGGTTCTGACACCTTAGAATGAGGTAGGGAGTGAGGAATCACCTGATTCATGGCTGTATTCTGCTATGGCCTGTTTTCTGTCAGAGAATCCCAGGCTGGTTTGGGTTGGAAGGGACCCAGAACATTCTAATGTTCTGTTTTCAACTGAGTTCATCTAAAGCCCATCCTGTTCCACCCCCTGCCATGGGCAGGGACACCTTCCACTAGCCCAGGTTGCTCCAAGCCCCATCCAGCCTGGCCTAGAACACTTCCAGGGATGGAGCAGCCACAGTTTCTCAGGGCAATCTGTACCAGTGCCTCACCATACTCAGAGCCAGGAATTCCTTCTCAATATCCCATCTATCCCTGCCCTCTGACAGTGGAAGCCATTCCCCCTTGCCCTGTCACTCCAGACCCTTATCCATCTCTTGGAACCCCTTTAGGCACTGGAAGCCTTCTCCAGGCTGTGATCAGAGGGGCACCAGCCCTTGGAGCATCTCTGTGGCCTCCTCTGAGTGCCTGTGACCCTCACTGGTTTGCAAGCTCACATCAGAGTTTGCTTACTAGAAACTTTGACTTTTCTTACCTGGGAGAAATCTTCGTGGTTCCTCTCACTTCACATGGGCACAGGTAGGAGGTTTTACCTCTATATCAAACTGGAGGAAGAACTGCAGTTTTTAAACAGTTGCTTGTCAGCTTTCCTGGAAAAACACAAGCTACCCACTGCCACAGAGAAGCTGCACAGGAATAAGGGCTGAACGAATGAATTTTTACAGTGCTGTTAATATTATGAATTAATTGATTTTTACAGGGCCATTACCTGATGGCAAATATTTAGATTAAAACAAAAGAGAACACTCAACTTGTTGTAAAATTGTTTTGCCTTCAGCCCCAGTAAGTTTTAGTAACTTGGGTACTGCCAGACCCTGTTCTAAAAAGCCTGTTCTGAGGACTAAGCATGTGTAAAGACACCAGAGCAAGGGGATGCCCACACCTGCCTCTGTTTGCTTTGCAGCTCTACGTGGGAGGGAATGCAGCTCTCATCGGGCAGAAGCTTGCAGCAAATCCAGACCTGAAGGTACACACGTCCCACAAATTTCAGCCTGTTTCCTTGTGTTCTTTAATTTGCTTGTCTCACGTTACTTCCTTGTAGATTTTGAGGATCTGGCAGTTAGTTATTTCATGGGCTATGGTGGAATGTATGGTTGACTCCTGAGATGAAAGCCTAGCTGGTATTTCAGTATTGAACTGTAAATTTTTTTACAACCACTTGTCAAGGTGATGCTTAAATTTTGGCAAGGGACAGGGCAAGGAAACCTTCATTTTTTTTCACTTGTTTTATAGATCCTCCTCTGTGGCCCAGTTGGTCCTAAACTCCATGAACTACTTGATGACAATGTGGTTGTGCCACCTGAATCCATGCAGGAGAGAGATGAATTCCATCTTATCTTGGAGTATCAAGCAGGTACCTTGCTAAAGGCTGAGTGTTAGATGGGAACCCCAGAGATCACTGAGATCTGAGGCACAGCCTAAGCAAACCTGGTGGGTGCCACTAAAGGTGCATGAACACTGAAATGGTCCCTGAAAACACAAAGGTACCAATTAAGCAGACAAAATTCAGGGTAACCCTCATGTAAAGGCTAAAACAAATCCATGTGTATTTTCTTGCTGCTGCTGGAGGCCATTTCATGTGTGATCTTACCCAGGAATAAAGCAGTTGACACATATTTGCTTCTGTTTGCTCCACCCTAGGAGAGGAGTGGGGCCGAGTGAGAGCACCTGCTGCCAACCGCTTCATCTTCTCCCACGACCTGTCAAACGGCGCCTTAAACATGCTGGAAGTGTTTGTGTCCAGCTTGGAGGAGTTTCAGCCAGATCTTGTGGTACTTTCAGGCCTTCACATGATGGAAGGGCAGAGCAGGGAGATGCGACAGAGGCGACTGATGGAGGTGAGATACTGTAATACCTGAATCTCCTAAATTTCCATTCCAACAACTGCTTCGTGACAAGGTCTTGGTTTCCCAGATTTGAAGTTATAGGTAGGCTGTGCCTACAGATCTCCCACACGTCTCAGTACTGCATGCTAAAAGAAGAATGACAACTGCAGGAGTGGCAAAAGTATAATCCTGTAAGACAGATTTTTCTTGGATTCAGTGGGTTGTGCAGGGAAGCACAAGGGCTGGTTGCCTGGCTGGAGAGTGTTGACACCATTACTGGTCTTATCTGGTGGCTAAATCACACTTTTTCTATCCCAGATGTCAGGATTATCAAGGTGGCAATCAACACCTGCATTCCTTAAGCAGCATCTCTGCTGGCTAATCCAAGAGGCAGTGTTCTCATCTGAGCCCAGGTTTTACTTTCATTTCCCAGTGCAAGGCACTAGCCTTCTGTGTGTGTTCTAGGATCAGCTTTTACACAGCTGCTCCAGATTTGTGAGGTTTTGGAATTAGTCTGTTAGTAAAGGTGCTGAGCTGGGTACAGATTAGACTTAGCTACAGTTTTCCTGCCCTGGGATTCTAAAAACCAGTTGTTATTTTTATTCCCTTTCCTTAGCAGTACATTCAGACACTGGGCATACATCTCATTTGGAATGGTGTTTAAATCCATGCACTGGAGGATTAAAGGATGTGTAGCTCTGAGTCAAAACATCCTTTTTTCCTTCTGTTTTCTAATAAATGTATATTTTTGTGTTTTGGGGTTGTTTTTTTAAATTTTCCTGTACCCCTGTAGGCTGTGGCCTCCATCTCTGATATCCCTACTGACATTCCCATACACCTGGAGCTGGCCAGTATGACTGATCAGGATTTTATGAGCAACATTGTGCATCAGGTAAGGAAAACCAAAGGACGTGCTCTTTTTGTCAGGTTCAGTATCACAGTGCACAGACTGTATATGAACATATAAATGAATACATTACAACTATCCAAGCCAAGATAAATTGAGGATTGAATTTGAGCTGAGTTTATAATTAAAAGAAGCCTCAGTTTCTTTGCAGAATTTCTTTCCTGCAGATCCTGGTGGTTCCTTGTTTAGCTAGACACAGCTCTCATCTCAGTGTTGTGCTTCTTGTGGAGTTGACGTTTTGTTGCTCTTTAGTGTCAAACTGTGTGTCTAGGAGAGTAATTGCAGCAAATGAAATGTTTTCTTGGCTAAGTAATTCCTACCAGCTTGTAAAGTGCAGTGACTTTGGCCTGTACCTCTCTGGGAAACTGGGTGCTGCTTCTGCTGAGCACACCAGCCCTGCAGCCAGGACAGGGGATGGTACACCACACCCTGAGTGAGGAATCCCAAATGTGACTCTTCCTGTGAAGGCAAACCCGTGGTTCCCGTGTTTCTGTTAGCAGGTCTTTCCCCTGGTGAACTCCCTGGGGCTGAACGAGCAGGAGCTGCTGTTCCTGACGCAGTCAGCCGCGGGGCCCCACGCCTCCCTGCCCTCCTGGAGCGGCATTCCCGACGTGGGTGTGGTCAGCGACATCCTCTTCTGGATCCTGAAGGAGCATGGGAAGACTGCAGATCGAGCCTCCGACCTCACACGGATCCACTTCCACACCCTGGCCTACCACATCCTGGTCACAGTGGACGGGCACTGGGGCAACCAGGTGGCTGCAGTGGCTGCCGGAGCCAGAGCTGCAGGGACTCAGGCCTGTGCCACCGACACCATCGACACCACCAAAGTCTTCCTGAAAGCTCCTTTGGAGTTTGTGACCTCCCAGATAGAGGCACCTTCCAAAATCTCCTTAAATCCAGATGAGCCAGTGGTGCATTGGCACAGAGAAGGCATCTCATTCCATTTCACCCCCGTTTTGGTGTGCAAGGATCCTGTCCGGACCGTGGGCCTGGGGGATGCCATTTCAGCTGAAGGACTGCTGTATTCTGAAGTGTATCCTCAATAGCAACTAAGACCCTTCCTTCTCTCCAGCACTGCACGGTGTCTGAGGACCCGTGGCTTAGGATTTGGGGCAGTGGTGGTATAGAAACAGAATCAGGGTGTGTTGTGTTTCTTGGGTATAACTGAAAAAGAGCCAAAGAATAATTCCAGGTATAAACTCTCAGCTACATTCCAGTCACTCGGCAGTGACTCGAACGCTTCACGTGTAGGTGCAGCTGGTTTAGTATTTAATGTGAAAATTGGCTTTGTCTTAAGCAGAGTGGGAGAGACAAAAAGACCAAAATCCCTGTCTGGCCTAGGTTTGCTGTTTGTAACTCAAATGGGTCATGTCTTGTAGTGCTGGAAAGTGCAGCAGCAGGAGAATTTTCTGCCCATGGATCCCAGGGAGAGCACAGCAGTGCCCAGCCCTGCCTTGCCTCTGATAAATTAAAAATCAAAGGCTCTTGGGTTATCTCCTCCTAGCACATTGCTATGTGGCAAGAGCAAACCTTGTGCTGGCTTGAGGTGAGGATGGAATTACTGAGTGGTGAAATTACCTCTTGCTGTCCCCAGTGTTGGACGAGCCTCAGTCACAAAATGTGATGCAGACTGTACCTACTCCAGGCTGCACAGGTGATTCTGGGTGTCTGTTGTCTCTGTCACTAAAGGTGTTCAACTGAGCCCTAGCAGCCTGTGCCTAGTTTTGGGGAAACTAGGAATGAAGATAATCAGGATTTCTCTTTGGGGACAGCTTTATTTCCTTGCCAGGTAACCCCAAAGTGTTACTCGTGTTTGCTGTACACTAAATACCTTCTCTGCTAACAGTGGGTGCTTCCAGCTGATGTGTTACAGACAAGCTCTTCAGTGCTGGAGACTAATTTTTTTGGTTGGTTGAGAATGGTTGTGCCAAATTCTTCCATCTCCCTGCCCTCCCTTTGGAATGCTTGATATATTAGGGAAGGTCTTTCTTAAAGCTCAAAAGCTGCAACAGCGTTTTCCAGGTAAGACTAAGTGAGGAGGCCTTTTAAGGGTTTGATGTTGGGGTGTTTTTTGACTAGGTCACTGATAGTTCCTTTGCTCTGGCCTTTGAAATTAAAAAAGTAGAACCATGTGTTCTTGTTAAATACTTTGCTTCTATTTTTTACCTCTTCATGGTCACACCCTATGGACTGCAGAGCACCAGCATGGGTTTATGTCTGTCCACTTCAGGAAGTTCAGGTGTACCTGCAGAGCTCTCACACACATTGTTCAGAACTGGATTAAATGCCATCAGCATGTCTGTGCAAGCCTGTGCCTCACCAGAGTTTGTAGGAGGTCATTTTAGGTCAGTCTTTGTGTCTGAATGGAGGGGAGGAGAGTTTGTGTCTTTTAGGGTGGAGTGATCTGTTTCAGTAACACTGTCACACTGCTGTCAGTGATGTTCTCCTGTTGGGAAATACCATCCTGAATGCTCTGCAAGGATGAAAATTGGCAGCTGTTGTACTTGCACTGACTCAGCACACAATGCTGTCTGTCAGTGTGCATTCAGCTTCTGCTTTCCTCTGAGCAGAGTCTTCTGTGTTGTACAGAGCAGAAGTACAGTCAGTGCTGTGTTTTCCTGCAGCTCATCCCACCAAGTTGTTTCTCTGCAGTGAGAAGACTAAAGGGAATGGTCATAAGCTTCAGAGCAGATAGTAGGAAAAATGCTTTCACTGCTGGGGTGGTCAGGTGTTGGAATAGGGAGTTGCCCAGGGAGGTGGTTGAGTCACCATCCCTGGAGGTGTTTAAGAGACATCTGGACCTGGTGCTGCAACATATGGTTTATGGTTCCAGCAGAGTGACAGGTTAACGGTTGGAGTTGATGATCTTAAAGGTCTCTTCCAACCTTGATGACTATGATTCTATGAACCTGACCACCTTTTGAGTCTCAGGATTTGATCTTGGTGCAGGATCTTCTTAAGACTGGAGGCATTTCTATCCAGATTATTTTTCTTTCATTATTATTATAACTGATAAACTGTAGCACAGGACTTGGAGTTCTGGTTTAGTCTTCCTAAATTAAAAATTAATAAACCTCCCTCTCCTTTCAGCTGTCTTAGAGGTCCAGGGCCATTAGCAAGGTTATTTTGCAGCCTGTGATGGTGGCCTTCTGGCATCCCACCCTGAGGGCCACCAAAGGCCATGGATCTGCCAGCTGGAGAACTGATCCTTCACTTACACTGAGTCTTGCTTTCCTGATGTTGGGCCTAGCTCTGTGATTCTTGAGTTGGAAACAAAGCTAAATACACACAAGCTGTCAGCAGCAGCAACCCTGCTGCTGTACTTCTTTCTTCCAAAAGCATTTCCAGGGATGTGAGGCTGACTGGACTGGTGTTGCCTAACAGACATTTAAAATCACATAACTGCACTAACAGACCTTGTCCCAGGGGTATTTAACAGGAGACTGACAGGCCTAAGTTACCTTTTTTAAACTATTTTGGATAATTGCTGAACTAAGTATGAAAAAGGGGTTTGTTGATTAGAATTCATCTGGGCCTAAAAACTAAACTGATTATTACTATTATTGTTGTTAATTCCTCCTTCCTGCTGCTCCTGTTGTTTCTCACCAGGTATGTTTCTCCTGCAGCCTGTCGTGGGTGCACTGGGAGCACCTGGCACTGTGAGTCACTGCTCAAGTGCCAGCAGGTCCTGGTGCCCAGACTGCTGCAGTACCCAGGTCTGCTTTATCAGGCACACAGAGCTCACCTGCCACCAAATTCACTTCCCAAGGATAATCCTTAACCAGCGTGACCTGTTCATTAGCTATGCTGGTGGGATCCCTGATTAAGTTTTGAAACAATCTATATGATAATAAACTTGAATTGGATGGAGGAGCCCAGCAGCCTTCACTTCATGTTTCACATGCTGTGAACACGATGTGCGTAACTTCCCTCTGCCTTCCCAACTTAATGACAGTCAGGGTGGCAGAGGCTCCTGAAATCCTTCCCCTGCACGTGTGGTCTTGCACCTCAGCTCAGCTACAGTAGTGACAACAAAGAAAAGCTGCTTTAACAGCTGCAAAAATACCAAAGCTTCAAAACCAGGCTTGAAATGGCCCTGCTTTCCCCTGATCCTCTCTGTCTCTACAAATACTATTTGTTCTCTTGTGTTACTCATACTTTGAAATCCACAGTGCTGGGTGACTCAAACCTCAGCCAGCCTCACACTCCCAAACAAGGGTTTCCACTGGAAATGTTTATTCACACATGGTTTGCTGGAGATGCAACAGCTGAGCTCAGCATTGTGACAGCTCTCACTGATAAAACCTGTGCACGCTGCTATTTCCACTCCTGTGTGCCTACAGCCACCTTGGCTGGGTTTTGTCTTACCCAGGATCCAAAGTGAGCACTGTTCCCATCTTTTCCATGCATGTCACTTACTGGAGGTCAGGTGGTGGATTGTTGGAGAGGTGTGACTCACAGAGGCTGGCAGAGTCTCAAAGGACACGTTCCTTCTCCACTGTGCCCTTTCTGATGTGCCATGCAAGAGCCAATCCCAAATACAGCTCTTTCCAGTTTCAATGCTCTTTCCTTTTTTTTTTTTTTCCTCTCTAGGGATGTTTTGCAGCATTACTAAAGAATTACTTGATTTTCTTTATTCTGTATTTTCTAGTTATCTCCTGTTAGGATAAGTTGGTTAAATTTGCTCTTCCCACCCAAATTCCTTTTCATAGAACTGGTGCTGAAATGTTCTTCCTCAGCCTTTAGCAAAGACCTCATCAGCTGCTCTGACCTGTGTTAGATTTGCTTTACAGCTCAGCTGCACTCACAGCCACTGGAATCCAAAGACTGGATAGCAGCAGAGCACTGGATCCATTTCCAAAACCCAGTGGAAAACCATCAGCACTTCTGCTTGCCTTTTTTTAATTATTTATCCTGTAAGGATATACTTGAATTACCAGGAATTTTGTGCCACAGGGTGACCTTTCCAGCCATGTCCTGAGAAAAGAATTGGGACAGTTTTTGCAAGAATGGTACAAGGCAACAGAACGTGATTTCCAGTGACCCTGAAAGCTGGGATTGGGCTCTTTTTGGAGCTTGAGGCTGAGGTGAAAGCTGATGCTGTTGTGTCTCTGTGCTAATACCTGGCACTGGGTGCTGCCACATGTGCTCAGAGCAGTCTGTTCTGAGGAAGCACTGGCACGGACCTGTGTTCCACAACAGGCTGCCTGCTCATTGCTGGGGTAAGGAAACTCCTCAAGGTTTTCAGTACAGTTAGGGGAACAGAAGAAAAACAGAGGAAGGTACTGGGTCTGAGTAAACGCTGCAGTAAAACCTGGATCTCAGATTCAGGAACACTGGTTCTCTCTCTTCAGAGATGTCAGATAAGTTCTCCTCCATAACAGATGGAGCAGTTTCTTGTGTAATATCTCAGGTGGATCCTAAGTGCTGAGCAGGCTGAATTCTCAGGGAGTTACTGATCCAGACTGTGGTGGGAGGATGTTCTCTCAGCAAAGGAAACGTGCAGGTTGGAAATAGCACGTGTGGCCATTCCTTCTGTGCCGGGTGCTCGGGAAGGCGTCTGTTCCCAACAGCCTGGTATCAGCCTTTGCTGGGCAGACCTCACAGCAGCTGAGGAACACAAATGCTGGCAGGAATTAACTCACTAAAATACAAGTGGGGGCAATGAAAAAATACCCTGAAAGCCTCTGCTCTGAATTTCTCAGGAGAGCTGCTCCTCAGTGCAGCCTGGGTAGAGCTGGGTTCAGACCTCACCTGCATCTTCTATTAAAAACAGATTTTCTGAAGCAGTTTAGTTTGTAAGAGTGGTAGAGCTTTCCTTGCAGCATAACTGGGTTTTCTCTTACCTTGGCAGATGAAGTACTTGTTATAAAATGTGTTCTTTTTGAGTGCATTTATGTGTGAAGCTTATTATTTTAGTAAACCCTTCATTCAGCACTGAGGTCTGTCTGTCTCTCTAGAAGAGGCTTTGCCAACTGGAACCCACTTCCCAACATGAAATCTAAATTTCTAACATCTTTTAAGGGCTCCACATGCACCTTGCTCACTCACAACGGGGCAAACGAGTCCAGGAGCATAGCACGTATCCACTGAGACTGCCTGTATCATAAATCTGCATCCAGTTGTCTCAGGGAGCTCAAAACCAGATTTTTTTGGGTTGAACACATGTTGCTGGATGGAGAGATCATTACTCTTGGCTGAAATGAGGTTTTGCTGCCCAGGCATTGCTGTTGGAGTGTCTTCCAGTTTGTTTCCTGTGCGGAAGCCAAGCTGCAGAGCACCTTGTGAGCTCTGTGGTTTACCCTGGTTCATCATAGATGTTACACTAAAAAGGGGAAGAAAAGTCCTAAAGCAGATGCTTTCTGCTTCCCCAGAAAT